GGGGGGGCTGTAATCCTTATCCCAGCTTCACTATTTACTATGTCATTGACCTATAACAAGCATCCAGCTGGTCAGGTCCGTGATGTCTGAATTACCCTTCTGCGTACCTGTTCCATAGCATTGTGTCGTTATGAATAATGAAGCCATGGCTCAGTAAACTAAAAAAGCACCTCAGCAGCAGCAGATTCAGTCATTTCTTCCTCAACAGATCCCTTTAAGTAAATGTAATTTTTTTAATGCAATTATTTTAAATATACACATTAGTGTAATCAGCATAGAGGAAATAAAAGGGAAATGTAAATGTTGCCATTCCTGACTTCTCATTCTGCAATGCTAGTTTCCTGGATGTTATTCGGATCCTCTTGCTTCAGTAGTTTGAATTACTAACCCACAGCAAGTTTGTAGATAAGAACCTCTGACCTTTCTCCAGCTTTCCTGATCTGCATACTTGACTTGTTCCAGCTCAGTGACTCAAGGTATTGATACCAGTGGATCAGCATAATAAGCATTTCCAGAAGAAGCTCAGCAATATTTGTGAGTATACAGGTGAAACTCGAATAATTAGAATATCGTGCAAAGTTCATTTATTTCACTAATGCAACTTAAAAGGTGAAACTAATATATGAGATAGACTCATTACATGCAAAGCAAGATAATTCAAGCCGTGATTTGTCATAATTGTGATGATTATGGCTTACAGCTCATGAAAACCCCAAGAACCCCAAATCCACAACCTCAAAAAAGTAGATTATTACATGCAATCAATAAAACAAGGATTGTACATAGAACAATATCGCACCTCTGAAAAGTACAAGCATGCATATGTACTCAGTACTTGGTTTGGGCCCCTTTTGCAGCACTTACTGCAATTACTTTTGCACGATATTCTAATTATTCGAGTACCTATATTTGTAAGCTATATATTTTTTCTGAATACCTATATATCTTACAAACATAGGTATACAGTATAAACTCCATTCTCCATGATTACTTAGTAGGCTTGATTTACTAAAGTGCGGTGGGAGTGAACAACATCTAATCATCTGAATAGTAAGTCCTTCTTCGTCACATGATTGAACGTTTGAAAACAGGGTCACATCATCTCAATGCATACTAATAAATCAGACTCAATAGGATAACAATAAGAAACAAGTTATAGAATCTGTTATTCCCAGGGCTAGATTTCCATCACGGGAGTCTGGGGGAACACAACGTTTGTACCATCCACCTGCTAGGTTCTGTCTTAGTATATTTTGCTGATGTATAAATAACTTACATGAGATGACTCTTTGTACTGATGATGAAACAAAATGTGTGGCTAATTATTATACAGATAAAGCTCACCCATTAACATTAACCCAACTGCAAGATTATCACTTGAAGAATTGCTTGGGAAAAGAAAACCCACTCACTTCAACATTGAAATGATGCAGTGATCATCAGGTGACACTGTTAGATGTATATATTTAGGTGTACCAGTCACCTACAATGATATGGTATAAGAACATTTCCCAATTCATGGCCGTTAGGGACCATGAGCAGATTATGTTGTCCACAATACATTTCTTCTCCAGAGCTGAAGCTAGTCATGCATAGTTTTATACGTGGGGCAAGTGAAAGATGTGCAGGTTCCCGTAACATTTAAAAATAAACTAACAGGGTTATTCACAAAAGGGTGAAGAGTTTGGAGAAGGCAAGAGAAGTGAACAATCTAGGACAACATAGCTGAACTGGAAAGTGAGCTGAATTAGATAATTTTTCCATATCAACTATTTTGGAATTGATTGTTAACTTCTCCTGCCTTCTCCAAACTCTTCACCCTTTTGTGAATAGCCCTGTAAGTATTCCCTATACCAAATTATAGCCACATGCCTAAAAACAGCTGACCTAGCCCTAAAAACAATCACTTAACCTCCCTGGCGGTATTCCCGAGTCTGGCTCGGTGTGAATTTTCCATACCAGGAGCGGTAACCCCGAGCCAGACTCGGGGCTGCCGAGAAAATTGACACTTACCTTGTCCCTGCAAGCCCGCGGCGTCCTCTGCTGTACGCGGCCCGAAAATGAAACTAAAAGTCAGATGCCGGCATCTAACTTTTAGTTTCGTTTTCGGGCGTCACAGCCGACAGAAAATTTAAAGGCAAAAGTTGCAATGTACACAGAATACACACCATACAATGTAATCTATGATTACACTTATGTATCAAACTATTTCACTTCAATTTTGTCCCTAGAGCTTTGTCCAGTGCCCTGGGTGACACTTTTTCACAATTTTAAGAAATTAAAATATAATAAATAATAATAAAAAATTATAATAAAATAATTTTAAAAATGGTCCAGTAAATGGGAATTCTGGGGGCGTTGCCTGATCCGTACCACAGTAAATAGGGTACCAAGTTCGCACATCACTGAGCTCGGTCGCAGAATCGTCGCTGTCCTCACTTTCAGTGTCTGTTGAGGAATTTCCGAACGAATCGCTATCACTCAATTCTGCAAGTAGTTCTAATTTACTATCGCTGTTTTCTACCTGGTCTAAAACCGCTTTTGACCTAAAACAGCGACGATTCTGCGACCGAGCTCAGTGATGTGCGAACTTGGTACTCTATTGACTGTGGTACGGATCAGGCTGCGCCCCCAGAATTCCCATTTACTGGACCATTTTTTTAAATTATTATATTATAATTTTTTATAATTATTTATAATTATTTATTATATTATAATTTCTTATAATTATTTATAATTTATTATATTATAATTTTTTAATTTCGTGTTTCAAACTTTATCATACCTGGGATGTCTACTGGACTCTTGTTTGGACAGATTTAGGTGAGTTATTCCTAAGATTTACTAAGAATTGCAGGCCTACAATACATAACACCAAATTTCCAAGCAAAAAATTGTACTGCTTTTGGTACAAAATTTCTGGCATAATCATACCGCCAGGGAGGTTAATGCAAAGTTGTTCTTGTTTTTGTTATACAGCAGCAGAACATAACTTACCTTTAATGAAGTGTAAATGATAGTGTAAATAATAGTAATTTCATCCTATGCTAACATTACACTTTGCATTCTGTGAAAACAATCCAAGCAATTCTATAAATGGGAAGGGGGGAGGGGGCAGAATGGGAGATCAAGTAGCACTATTACAGCAGAACTGACTAGTACACATGTCTTCATCATTCTCCATGTATCTTTTCACATTGGGTTTAAACAGTTAGTCCCCCAACACGAAAGCAAAAACACTGATTAATGCCAAAAATACATACTCTTAGTGTGCTCTTAACACCTCAATTCCCATATTTATCTTAAACTCTATAGTGCTTCCTTCACACTGAATTTCTAACCCTAAAACCAACCTAACCACCAATCTAAACTTTAAGTAACCCCAATTCTGCTGCATACTCACTTTATCTTGCTCCAAGAACTTTAGACTACGATGCCGGTCTCAAGCCAAAGCCATGTAGCATTGAGATCCTCGTGGTATGCAGGCACACATGTATATTTATTGTTTAAACTGACACTATGCTGATTGTTTCTCTGTGACTTTGTGAAAAGAAATACTTAACAGACATGAATGAGTACTTACTTGTGTCTAACATGGCCAAACAACGTAACTCATTTATAGACAACATTTTCTGTGAAAGAAAGCTGACTTTTGATGGTGTCCCCATGCATCTAATAGCCATTCACATACACAAGCAAGATTTTGAATCTCAGTAAATGTGTATGTGCCAATAGGTGAGCAGGATTGATTGAGGAAGAAAAACCTCAATCTCCATCATGCAGTAGATGTTTTCCATATTCTGTTCTGTGCACGCTTTGTGCCTACTCAGCATGATATAGTTGAGTCAGGAGGGATAGAATTTGAAGGTGCTTAAGTCCAAACTACATATATAAATTGTCATTCCCTTTCACTCTCTCTTCTACGGCTTTGGTAAGTTAGGACATGAAAAGGAGATGCTGACAACTTGTTGAAATAATTAAATATGCCATTTGCCATGTATAATTCACACAGGGTCTTTCTCCTTTTCAATTACATCTGCTGACAATACCCTGGGGGCGGTTTGGAGAGTAATGGTCTGAACCAATATTTGATTAAATGAAACCTATTAATTCACAAATAAAGAGAAAAAAAATCAGTGAAACACAGTGATGTTATTTGCTCCAAGCAAAATTAACTTGCTGGCTAAATACTGAAGAATAGCTGGCTCCACTTTGGATAATTCACACCAACAATTTACCAGACTATAGATTGTAGATGGAAGTACAAATGATGTCTGAAGCATATTACAAACAACTGCTCCAAGTGAGATGAGCAGCTGACGATACATTCAGTGCTAAGGAAGATGAGAAGACAACTCTCCATAGGATTTGATTCCATCTCTCTACTCCAGCAGTATAGCCGCCCATGGCTTAGACGCCCCAGACACAGTATCTTGGCATGAAGAACTAGGTTTTTACACAGCCCTGCACAAGAATAAACAGTGTAAGTCCTTATTATTACAACGTAGTTATAGCTGTAATAATGGATGGTAATAGTCTATGCAGAAGTTTGTAGAGTGATTTATTTTGTAGTGTGTCATTTCTCCGGTCAGCTTTGCCTCTGTTGAAAGAGAAAAAAAATCCTCAGCGAGCATTGTAATTATATGTGACTCATCCACTCTCTATACAGGGTAAGTGCACACACTCAACAGGCAAACAACAACCAAAGAAAAGAAAAAGAGGGCACGATAAACAAGTAAGTGAGTGAGTAATAATTTACACTCTGTTGATGAATAACAAGAGCTAACATCCATCCCAAGGCTACTCCTATACACTTAGCTGTATGTTGAATTAAAGGGGAATGGCCAGTTTGACTACGGTAAAACAGACAGCCATTTTCAGCACAGACAGATTATGAGTTTTAAGCTGGCCATACACCCTTATATTTTTTCATTCAACCAGTAGGCTGAATGAGAACAATATAACAGATTCCTTCATCCACGCTAAACAGCATGGATGGACAAATTTCCTGCTGTGCTATTTGTATTCTGAGTGAGAGGGGCGTACCGCTATCAGAACACCCGGACAGTGATGGTAGCTGATTGGCTATCGTCACTGTTCACTTGAACATTTTCCATCCACCTTCTTCAATCTTTGGAATGGAGGATGCTGGACGGAACGGTGCTGACAGGGGCATCCACTGTACGAATTTTTGCTGGTTCATCAATAACTAGCCGAAGGAGGGTCTGGTGTAACTAAAATGGCCAGCAGACTGGCCCTGTTCTAATTCAAGCACAAGGTCAGCACGGTACCACAGCAACTTTAAAACAAATCTACAGTCTTTTAAAGGTATAGACCTTAAAAGGAACTACAGTTTTTTAAAGGTATAAACCTTAAGTGTAAATCAGCTTAATGTACAAATATCAGGCTATGTCTCCATTGCCCATAATCCACCCAAAACACTCTTGCCAAGCCAGTTTAAGTGAAGCAAAGCTGAACAATCAGGGAAACATCAGTTGAAGTGGTTAATCTCGGAGTCTTAATGGCTTAATGTTTAATCCAAATTCTTAAATTATTTTATATAACATTTTTAACTAAATGGGGAATAGGACATGTTTTGCTTATTGTATAAAAAAGGATAACTATACTTTTTGTACAATTATCCTTTAAATCACATTCACATATTCCTCCCCCAGCAACCCTCCACCAAGTCTTATACATACTTGACTTGATACCTGTGAGATCTTTGCTATGGAAACCTCACAGCTTCTTCCCTGAACATCTGCTTGCTGAGCTATGCTTGCAGAATTTCTATTCATTCCTATGGAGAAGTCATCCTCCAGTGGGATGCATAATAGTTGGAATGTATGATGATTCTTCTGCGATCAGCAGAAGAGTGCAATCATGAAAGTTTTGCAGTGGTGGCTCTTCAAATCCCAGCAGGCCACACAGAAAAGAGCTCAGAGGTGCGAGGACAGGCAAGGCTTGGAGAGCTTGGTGTGAAAGCAGTTATTTGTTAAGTCTCAGCTTCTTGCTTAGCCATGCAGCACAGTGATAGTGCTTTACTGCATCTCTTAACTCAAAGAAATTCTACAGTCTATGAAGAACCACAGTCAAACACAGCAGGCAACATTACTTTCTGAATAGCTTATCCTGCAATAAAGTTTGCCTTGGCAGTAATGCAGCAAGAGGACCCATTGCTCTGCCTGGTATACTGATTGACCTAAATCTACAAAGCTCAGTATGAAATATGTTAAACAAGCAAACAAATATTTGAGTCACCCAAAAAAATTGCTTTCAGAATATCTGTAAAAAATAAGTCAAGGCAACTGGACTTGCTGTATTTTTCTTGAAGACGTTTCACTGGACATCCAGAAAAATCCGTCTTCAAGAAAAATACAGCAAGTCCATGACCTGGATGAATGAGAACCTTCACAGACATGCTTTCAGAATACTTAAAATATCAGTGCATTCCAGAAGTACAGAGACCTGTATGCCCTTACCCACCCTGCTCAGAAAATTGCTAAATATAAGCACACACCTCACACAGACACTTCTGCACCATGATATTGTCCCCATTTGTGAAGCCAGCCAGCATTTTCATCCCCCTAGGACCGGACAGCCTCCACATAACTGTACATGTCCATGTCCTGCCACAGACAGCAATGGCTGTGTCCATCCCCCACAATGTAAAGCTATGAAGCTATGCACTGAGAATATATTTAGGTTAACTTCATAAATTACTTCAAATGTTTACTCACTGAAAACACGCAATATAATTCAGTAATTTATTTGGGTCATTATTCGATCCTAAGCAACACCTACGCTGGCCTTAGTAAAAGATTAGCTTTTAGAGGAATAAGCTTACGATATAAAAGAAAAAGTGATTATCACACTGTACCATCTGCAGCATGCACCTAATACCTACAAAGCCCTCATATTATACACATTATGCAAATATTGTTTCTAAAATAGAAATCTAAATAGAAAACCATTTTCCTACATTTCTGCCTGGAATTGGCTCATTATCTATATATTCAAGCCCATATCTCAGAAGCTAGGCAACATTGAATGTGTAATTAGATAATAAAGGACCTTAATACAGAATAACAAGAGACTGGCTAAAATATAAACAGCGCTGTACAAATTTCTTTAGACATTTCCGTAAGCAGTGACAAAAAATGATGTGATAAAAAAGCAGAGATATGACATATGATGCATGTCAATGACTAAGTCGTTCTTTCTGCACAATGTTTTATTATGTATATCTCTCTACACAACATCTTGACAATATGAATGGCTTGCATATGGATCCGCATTACTGTATACTTCCTGAACATAGAACAGAGACAGGGCTGTCTGTATCAAATTGGCCAGCTAAGTGAAAACTTGCAGGGGTGCAGAAATTATTTTAAAGTGTAGATCCAGGCAAACTGGTAAATGCAAGACTTTAGTGCTTGTAGGTAAACTTCCTTTAACAGACAAAGCAGTCCGGCAAGTGGCAGATAGAGGGATCAGACTGTAACACTGACAGGGGTGCTTAAACTCGTCAGCTTTTATTCATTTATGTAAAAACTTTTCCAAAAGGGAAACAACTTTTGCTGTAACTGCCTAAACAGTGTTAGCTGGAATTCAGATTTAATTTGTTAGTGAAGTCCATCTAAATCTGCTAGTCCATCTAACACTAACCACAAGGTGACAATGTCGCTATTTAAGGGTGGCTCCGCATAAAGAAATGCAGCCACCACATTTAAGGAATGGTAAGCTGCAATGTTTATTTTGGGTTTTAGATACTCTTTAACATATTTCTTGATCCCTAAAATTAGCCCTCAACAAAAGTACAGCAAGTCCAGTTGCATTGACTTATTTTTTTACAGATATATATCAATATACTTTTCTATTATTCATTTTACTTGTACAGTAAATGGAATAAAACATTTTAGAAAATGCAGTTTATACATTTTTCGTATAATTTATATTATTCCAAATATTTTCACTACAATATTTCTCTTGTTTCTACAAAATACAGGGACCCCAAATATGTGTAGGTTTTATACACACATTGGTCCTGTCAGGTAGATAGAAAAAAGTGTATATATTTTAGATTTCAAGATATGGGCATTTTTCAATACTGCAGTACTGTGTTATGAGTCCCATCGCGGTAATGTACAGATGATTTGAAAAAAATAAGTTTTTGTTTCACACCACACACTGCCTGTAACATAACTCTTATTCTTCTCTCACTGCTGAAACTTCTGTCAGCAGAGAGAAGCTGCTGCAAAGTAATGGGCAACAGGAAAGTTTTTTTTTGCAGGGCACAAAATTTTCTTCAATCACCAAGATTCATTATTCTTGAGCAAATGATACCTCACCAGATCAGTCAGTTGGCTAAAGATCGATCGGGAAGGGTCTGCAGATGGACTGTGCAAGTCAGCTATGGGAAATCCAAGTGATCTCCGAAGTATGCTATAGCTGAATCTGACAAGACTTCACTAAACATCCTCCTGGAACTTGGAGGGGGTCAGGTTTAAAGCGTTAAATGTCCACACACCACTCTGCTGCACTCTATAGTGTTGACTTCTTTGACCTCAGATGGGTATAAGGGCATAGCCTGTGTATTGTATGCTATACCGTTGCCTATTTTATCAGGATTCCCACTTTTGTGAATACATATTGTAGAGTCATCGTTGTCTGACTCATAAAACATTTAGATAAAGAAAATCTGTTTCCATTTTTTTTCTGCCCTTTATTAGTATTTATTTAATCCGGCTGTCAACTACGCTAGGTGCACCACTGCACATAGCAAAACTGTTCAAGACCTGTAGCTATTCTAATTAATTCAGCAATGGAAGACCTGGATGAAAACTACTCAGATAAATATTTCTCCTGGAAAACATGTAACAACCATGTAAGCACTATAAATGAATCTCCCACTCTCCCCACTGCTTACAAGTAGAGACCTTTAATTGCTTATGCTGGGAATGGTTGGAGGAATGGCCCCAGGCCCACTATAGGCAGTAAGCAATGACTCCCACACTGACATCAATAATTTAAGGATTTATTAGAATCCAACAAAACTTTTGCAGTAATTGACCAGAACTGTCAAATATCTTTCTTTTTACTCCACTGCACTGGGAACTCTAAACGTCTTTGGCTCAGCTTCTCTCTGCAGCTTCAAAGTCGGCATGTACAATGGACAAAGATAAACTTTTCATACCCTTGAGTATAAAACCAACCACCTAATATCACTAATAGAGTTTATACAAGGAAAAGGATGTGTAATATTCAGAGCAGTACTGATCGATAGCCAGCCGTGTTAGGAAAATAAAAAGTCTTTATTTTCTTCCCAAAAATCTTCCAACAGAAACAGCTTATCTTCAGCAAATGAAACAAATGAACAAGACAATCAATGGCTCACCGCCTCAGTATGTTTGTCCCACATCAGGGTTAGTCTCAGCCGGTTCCGGGATGTTCCGACAAGGCCCAGACATATCAGCAGTGTCTCAGTAGTCAGCAATTCACAGCTCCACACTCAGTCATGTGTCCTGCTCCAAACACTGTCCCAAAGCCTGTAGCACACCTTACCGGAATTCCCATCAATGATTGCGGGTGCTCGCAATG